GAATGCATTAATGCTATAAAAATGAACTTGAAAGACATAACACAGATGCAAAAGACACAATAGAGCAATTTCTCCCGGGGGCAAGTTAGAAAACTCACGTGCCATGACCCTCTCCATCAAATGGAGAAGCGTAGTCCTGAGATGAATTGAAAACGCCTCTGGTTATAGCAGATGATGCAAAATGGCGAGCTGCAATAAGCTTCCTATTGCAGGACCCAGATGGGAAATCCGGAGTAACCTCACAGATGCCAGAAAAATGGGCTGGAACTGGATATGGACGTTCAGATGTATGGTCATCAAAACTACTGTGAGTTGGATCAATGCCAGTATCAATAAACCCAATAACTACCCCTTCTCCAGCTGATTCGTATCCTCCTCCTTGAACCCATGCTCCTTGTGGTAAACCCAAGAACCGAGGAGTATGGGTGGTTGCGGTTCTAACAGAAAAGTCCAAAACCACATTTGCTACTTCTCTCCTCCTTGAAAGCTTATCAACCTCCAAAATCCAGCAATATCACCAAATTAGGAACTTATGATCAGTTACATAATTGTACGTAGTGCCAGGAATATACAAGATGCTACATCACAAGGCCATGTAATGTTCCAATTTCTCACATACAAAATTAATAAATAAGATTATCATGACATATATCACATCATATTTATCACATTTTATATAGAAATGAATAATTCATACCTGATCTTGGGTAACAAACACAGCAAACCCGTTTATTAAGTAGTGGTAGCTGTACAGCTTCAGATATTTTTCCCCTCTGAACACTCTCCTCAATAATGAATCATGAACCCGAGCGATATACGAGCTATACCTACGATCTGTTCTCGAAATATTTCTAAACCTATAAAGAAGACATTAAAAGCATCATCATCAATCACTTTCAAGGTCCTAAAAATACAAGCTACCGGAAAACGTCAAATAGTTTAAGATAAAATGAAATAATGAGAAACAAATAAGGGAGGGGAAAAGAAAGAGAAAAAAAAAAAAAAAAAAACACCATATGCATTTCGGATAATGATTAAGAACACGAATAAACAACTTTTAAGAAAGTGAAGACCTCTCCCATACCGAAGATTTAAGCAATTGTTGGTCATGATAGAGTAAAGGGGCAACATGATATGAACAAGTTTCCACACGTTTATACGAGAACTCATACAGACAACGTACGAAAAGTGGCCAACATAAGACCCCATGAACCAAAAACATCCAAGCAAATTGGTTTCTCAACATTTGAACATTCATCTTAATTCTTAAACTGCATAATTAGCCATCAGAAATAAAAAATTCACAGCTTTAAAAGTAAGAAATCACAATTGAAATACCATTTCAAGATGTAAAAAAGAAAAGTAAATTTCGAGTAAGAAAATCTTGGTAAATAAAGGGTAAAATGGTTACCTTGGTTTGTGAATGTTCAACCTCTCAGAAGCACCGCCATGTCTGACACCATTTATACTGCTCCTTCTCAACTCGGCATCGTAGTGAACGGCCGGAGCTTCTCTGAGAGTGACGATGTAAACAGCAGAGAAGTTATCAGAATCTTTGTCTTGACACAAAGAACTCACAAGCATCCCCAAAAAAAGCAACCCCACTAAAAGCACCCTATGAAAGCTTCCCATTTTAGACCTAAAGCAGCAACAAGAGCAAAATCCCAGAAAAAGCACTTCCCCAGATGACCAAATCAGGCTTTTGGCACAAGTGCTTAACAACCCAAGTCCCTATTTCCAAAAGCGAGCTTCTTTAATGGAGCATTTGCAGAATATGGGAAGAAGCAGAGCTGCGGAAGGAAGAAGAAACAGAAACCTAGAGACCCTTATTGTACAATGTGAAAACTGGCGTGTAAGGGCCGAGATAAGAAGTGATATGGCCGAGAAAGCTGAGCGCTTTTCGGTGAAAAAGGTTTTCTTTTTTTTGTGCACTTTCGCTTCTGTGTGTGTACAAGAAACTAGAGAGAACACAGAAGACTAGAGGGGAGGGAGATGGAGGGAGAGGGAGGGAGGAAGAGGGAGGGAGTATTAATAGCTGGAGGCCGGATCACTGAGAATATCTGCACACTTTCTTGGATGCTGTGCAGTTGAACATTTAGTTTGTGTAAAGGAAAAAGCCAGAGTCTTTGAGTCTTGGACTCTTGAGAAAATATGAACGTTTTATTTTGTTTGTATATGGTTTTTCTGTATATTGTTTCCTGTATCATTCTTGCACCGTCATGAGTCACATCCCAACATTTTTATCATTGTCTGCTACTTGAAAACCATAGCCACCTTGGAGGTGGATTGTTTGTTCTCTCATTTTTATACTTTTTTTATGCTTTTTCATGTCTTCTTGTGATATATGGTTATGGTTAAGCCACGTCAATATTTTATATTAATTTTTTACAAAAATAATAAACCAAAAAGTAATAGAAATACAAAATGTTAACGTGGCTTAACCGTAACCTCACAAACAGAAGAGCATGAAAAGAGTATGGAAATGGGAACTGGGAAGGCACAATCGACCTCCAGCCACTCTCCTACAAGTGATATGCTTTCAAAATTGAAACTCTCTAAAATGTGAGACTGTTCAGGAAATTTCTGTCATTTTATATTTTTGGCACAATTTATGTATCAACATTATAAAACATTGTGTCAAAAAAAAAAGGTGACAATCTATAAAGAGTCTCCTTTTAAGAGAGTATTCTTAGCATTTACAGTAACTTAAAGGAATTGTTATTAACACTCTAAAAATCTCATTTTGCACTCCAAACTTTCTATAATTAGAAAGAAAAATACATTTGTAAGAAGTATAAAATGAGATTTTTAAAATGCTAATAACATTTTCCTAACTTAAAAAAAAGTTTAAGTTTCACTTGAAGCCAAATAAGTTTTGCGTAAAATCCCAATTTTATTCGTAACACTAAAATAGGATAGCCCATAATTACATGTATATTACGTTAATTAAAGTTATCCACACATTAAGTTTGAAATTCATCACACATAAAAGATGAGAATATGAGGTTAAAGTCGCCCATTATTAAAAATAAGAAACGTTGCATGTACATATAATGATTTTGATTAGTCATCTTTTACCGATTAATAGAATGAAACCTTAACTTTTTTTCAAAAGAAATATAATTTTTCTTTTTGAAAAAAAAAAAATTAATTAAAGCACAAGGCCGTTAGGACAACCATTACAAATATAATCCACAAGCAATGCATGCCTAGCACGTTAACGAATAACAAACAACCAAATACAATGAGAATTTTGTGTATACCCGAAATTGACAAGAACATCTGCTACAAATTTTGCTTTTCTAAAAACAATTATGAGCAATGAGTTTCGATCCTCCAAGACACTCCATTCCTTCCAAGCACACAATGAACCAGTAATTTACAGTCACCTGCCGCCAAAATGTAAGTCAAGCAAAGTTCCATATTTTCTGGCTATCTGTTCGTCGGAAAGTAATTGTAGTAATTCATTGCCAACCATTTTCATTTATGTAAATAAGGAGAAATGATGGTGATTTGGTGATGGGTCAGGTCAACATTCTCACTTGTCTTGCCCCTTTTCTTTTCTTTTCAATTGTCTAGTTGCCCCAACGTTCTAATTTTTTAAGGTCACCCGTGATATCCTCTGAGTCTGAAGAGAGAGAGAGAGAGAGAGAGAGAGAGAGAGAGAGAGAGAGAGAGAGGATTTTGGCCCTTTTGGTGTTAGTCTCATGGGTGGGGGAGGTCTTGTGGGACGGTCATGTATTGAGTGCCAGTGATGAGTGCGCATGTGAATGCCAAGAAAGGCCAAATTTCAGTCCTCTGAAATTAGAGAGCCACTTATATATAAGATTAAGATAGGTTCATTGTTATCGTGATGTTCTGATTCAATAATACATTATTATAGAAAGAAAAACTTGCATATAATAACAAGTACACATGAATTGAAACGTCACTTGACGATAAATTACTTCTACGTAAGTCCTTATTCTTAGAATTGGCTTTGCATCTCCTTTGTAACAACCGAAACTTCTTTGTAGTGACACCGTTCCACGCCTCATTTCATAGGGAGTCGATGATATTGGATCTAATCTGGTCACTAGAAGAGAACCCCTTCTTCCTAGAAGCGTCAAGAAGTGATCTTCTCAATATATTTTGGAAAATATACACAAATAGAATATGATAACACTTTCAACTAGAAATAAAATTGAACGATACTAAACCTACAATGAAACATATTCGTAACGAGTTTTATTCTATTATGATAGTGTCTCTCCATTTCAATTTTTATTACAAATTTGTAACCAGTTCGATTTGTGGATATTTCCCTTATTATTCCATTTATTTATCCATACCCCATATGGTAGGCCAAACTATGATGCAAATGCAATGCATTCATTGTGCACTTTAGGAAGTATGATTTATTTAATAGTTGTTGGGAGCGTTCTTGGTAATATGCTCTATAGTGCTAAAGGAACCTGATTCTTACAATCATATGGATCATTCTTTTCCGAGTCTAATTGATGGCCTCCTCCATGTGACAATATCAAAAGGAAAAGGGAAAGGAAAAAGAGAAAAATAACATATCTACCGTTGGTCCTTGATTGATTCCATCTGTTTGGAGCAAAAAAGGTGATCGTGTTTGGAATTTGTTTTCCTTCTATGTATACAGTATACACATTCAGCAAAAAACTTGGCAGAAACAGTTCAAACTTGCATTCCTGCAATAATTTATAGGTAGGTAGGTACGTTGTAAAATTTTGAGGGTTTTATTGCAAATAAAAGAAATTGTGTCCAACTTAAAGGTAGAAGATTGATTCGAAGGGATAGACTTTTTCCTTGTTTAATTCGTTAAATTGAGCAAACTGCTCGAGAAAATGTCTCAAAGTGGATTGAGACTGTCAAACTGATATTGGATTCTCATTTATTCATTGGCCCAAAGCCCAACATTACCAAATGGGCTTAGTACCACACATTTTTCAGTGTTTCAGCCTCAAGATTTAATGGTAGTTCGAGGTTGAAGTCTTGAAAAGGTGACATAATCCTAAACTGCCTTAGAATTTAGAGCACCCATTCAAAGTTTGTAACTTTATCCGTTATAGTTGAGACTATCAGAGGAAGTGTGAGAGAGGATGGCATTGGCAGCCATAGCCACAGCTTCATCAAATCCTCTGCATTCTTCTTCTCTAGCTTTCACAACTTCCACAGGAAGAGGAGGAGGAGGCAGCTGCTGCACAAGGACAAGGAGGAGGAGCCATTGCCTAAAGATTACTGGGTCCAATCCAGCTCATGACTCGGCTCTTTTCCAAGCAGCCCATCACACTGTATATCTGTATCTGAATTTGATTTGTTTATATAGTTATATTTTCTTTGTGAGGAGATTTCTCTTTGCTGAATAAATGCTCAAGAAACTGGACCTTCAGGCTTAATTTAATTTTGGTTGGTTTTCATCATAATTCTTTTTGCTGCACTTGGTTTTCTTAGCAACTTGGTGGAGGGCATGATGTTAGAAAAAAATTGCTTGGTGGAAAAGAACCATATAAGATGTAGGTTGAAGAAAGGGTGGCGTTTTCACATATAAGTCATTGATAATGTTACACTTCAAAGAAAAATAATTCGAACTAAATAGTTTAGGGAAAACCCCAGTTGACTTTGTAACGAGAGAAGGGCACCAAAATCAATTAGAGCATAGCAAGTGAATAGACGAGGCTCTTGAAGTATTTTTGTATAAAAATTATAGTTGTCGGGGTTTTTACTAATTTACTGGAAAGAGGGAGTCATTAGGTGAGTGAGCTATGCTTTGTAGAGAAGAATGAAGCTTGCCTTCTTTCTTGCTTTGATAGTTTGTATGATTGTTATATGTAGGAAGGAACTAATGGAAGGAAGATTCATATTTGAGTTTGTAGGTGGATACGTACATTAAAAGTGGTATGGTAATTGGATTGGGGTCTGGCCAAGCTTCTGGTATGGCCATACAGTATATAGGTCTGCAACTTGGTGCAGGTGCTTTGAAAGATATAGTCGGGATACCAACGTAAGTATGCGTTCTTTCGCCTGATTAAGAATTCATACTTCTCTTCCAAGTTCCTTCTAAAGTTCTTGAGATCATTAAAGTACGGAAGTAAGTGATGTCTTCGGATCATATAAGTTAATGAACTGAATCTTTCTCCTAAGCTCCATCAACGGCTGAAACTGAGAGAACTTGGAAAAAACTTTCGTTTTCTTTCGTTTTTAAGAATTCATAAAGGAATGTTGCTTGGATTTATGCAGGTCCGTAGCATGCGCAAGCGAGGCAGCAAGGGCAGGAATTCCATTGGGTCACTACGAGTATTGTTCTCAAGTGTGCACAAATTCTAATATAAGAAATTTCCCTTCCATCTGTAACGATATTTCTAGAAACTTTCTTGACCAATGTGCAATCGTTGTAAGATTCTCTGAAAACTATACCTTAGTGAAATGTATCATTTTAACTTGCTCCTTTGTAGATTGACTTTGCATTTGATGATGCTGATGTATTAGAAGAAAGGACACTTATTGCTGTCATCGGACGATCTAGATTGCAGGCTGAGGAGTCCATAATCCAAGAGAAGGTGAGTCCTGATACCGTTGTCTGTCCTGCGTATATGGACTGTTAGAACTCAAGCAATCCAATGGAAAATCTCTCACCCAGTCTGCAATGTTGTCTTTTAAGTTTTCGGAACTATCCAATTTGTATGATGTGGTTTGTTAAAATCATGTTTTGTAATATGAAATGCTTACTGGAAAATCTCCTTTTGTCATTTCCCCTGCAGGCGATACTAAACGCAGCAGATAAACTTGTGTTCATGACCACAGAAAAACAGTACAAAAGTGGTTCCGATGGTTCTATTCCAGTTTTGGTGAATCCTGTAAGCAACTCTATTCGTTTATCTGTATTAAATGAACCGCGAAGACCATGGTAAGAGAAAAATTGTCTGAACACTCGAACTTAATTTCAGCTCAACTGGTTGCAAGCCGCTGAAGAAATTGATGACCTTTTTTTAGGCGATGCCGAGGTATGGTCCCTCGTCATACCATTCTCTCTTCTGTTTATAGCTAATGTTCATACATTATTATCTTGTTCATCAGAAGAAAGTAAGCATAAGTCACTAGTTTCTTTCATTAAACAAGAGTTTGCACTCTTTTTTTTCATTAAAAAATTGAAAATCGTTATGAGACGGAAGGAACTGTTAAATAAATAACTGATATTACTTAAACAGTTGTCTTTCCTAATGATACGTCGCTTCTTCACCTTCTGAAGGTATGGAGAAGACCATCAGCTGGACTGGCAGGTCCTAATGGGGGTGACTTCCCACTAGTCACCAACGAAGGCCATAATGTTCTTGATATCATATTTACGTCTCCAATCCTAAGCCTCGGTAGGTCTTACAGTACAATCTTTTCTTGTTTTAATACATGCTTCCACGCTTGTAGATAAGTTAGCATGTCTATGTGAACTTCAATTGCAGCTGAAGTATCGAACAGCCTTGATGAAGTTGATGGGGTCGTAGATCACGGAATCATTTCCAAGTTCCCGTTAAGTTTCTGATCCCCCTTGTAAACTGTTATCTAGATCAAGTATCAAAGATCTTATACCTACCTTCAAAAAAATCGTTCTCATGGCTTTCCGTGAGTTTCATTTCTGAGAATGTTGATTAGGCAACATGCACAACTAATACGTGTTCTCTTACTTGTGGAGAAGTACAGATGCACGGCAGTAATCGCTTCGGAAAGTGGACTGTCTGTTGTTGATAATCTGCCTAAGAATGCCGTGAAGGAACCTTAACAGCAAGATCCTGCATCACAAACTCACACCGCGGTTCGGTTTTGTTTCTGCATATAAGCCTGCATCATATACAAAACACATCATTTTGTGTAATGTGGCGTGCATATCGCTTCGGACGCATATCACTTGTATCCATTCGACGCGTGTGTGCGTATATATATAGTGCTTCTGTATATATAATGCAGTGTAAGGGCGGAACTTGGGTTGGACCACCCTTACCAACCCGAATTTTAGACAACCCAATAGTTGATGAGTTGAGCAAATGCAATCAGAGGAATCTCCTGCCTGATAAATCAATGTATGAATATTCACATATGTAGTATATATACTAAATTTTTCCGCATATATATATCAAGAAAGTTAAGATTCTAGCGTAAAATCAATTAGCAATATGGGAAGTAATCCAACCTTTTATAAACTCTTGTAAGGTTCCTCTTTTCACAAATGTGGACTCTTTTATCTTTACATCCTCACAAGCCTTGTCACATAGTGTCTAATTTTCAAGTCAAATCCGTGGACTACATGAATTGAGTGACGTGGAGTATGCATGGCCGTTAAGCTTCACATGTGGACCAACCTACTTTGACACCCTAAAGAAAGTTGAGGTTTTATAACCTACTTTGACACCCTAAAGAAAGTTGAGGTTTTATCCTAAAACCAATTGGCAATATGGTGAGTAGCCCAACTTCTTATAAGCCTTGCAAGGTTTTTCTTTTCACTGATTTAAGACTCTTTTATTTTCACATCCTCACAATATTTGACAAAAAAAAAAATCCGCTTATATAATGGTAATCGTTAGCCACTTAGTACTACGGTCTAGTGATATTTTTCTTCACTTGTAAGTGAGAAGTCTTAGATTCGATTCTTATCAAAAATGAATTTGAACCACATTGTTAGTAGCCCATTGTGAGGCTTATCTCATTCCCCACCCCCTTAGACCATCTCCAACCCTTGGGTAAAAACCTAAAATTTTAATCCTAGAAAATTTAGATTTTAACCCATAAACAGTTTTTTTGCTCCAACCCTTTGGGTTAAAATTTTAGCCCCAAATCATTAAAGAATGAATTTAGACTAATTTTTTTTTCTTAAAGTAACTTTTTTAAAAGAAAAGATTATGTAGACTATCCTAATTTAATTTTATGAACATTTCAACCTAAAAATATTTAGATTCCTACAAATATTGAAAAATCACTAACCGACACCAAGAAACTTGAAACACTATAAAAGAATATGAAACGCATAAAAGATTTTATTTTTTTTTATAATTATTTTAACCGTTGGATTTAAATTTGGACCGTTAGATTTTATTTTTTTTACCGTTAGATTTCATCAAATTAGATTTTAACAGCTAGATTTAATGAATTTGTAAATATAAAACTAAAACAATTATAATATGGTGGACCAACCCCACTAACTCAGGGGGAAATCCTAGTCTAAATTTGGCCCATAACTGAGTTTTGAGTTTTAATTCATATTTGACCCAAAGGTTGGAGCAAGTTATGATAAGTTTAGAATCTAAAATTTGAGTTTTACTCCAAGAGCTGAAGTAAGTCTTAGTGTAGATAATATCGTTTGTTTCAAAAAAATCAAAAATGGCAATTTTTCATTGTGCAATACTTTTTTGCTTGAAAGGTGTTTGTGTAATTATGCACTATTTAAAGGATTTCCATTGCAAATTTTTGCATGGTTTTTTTCCAGAAGTTGCTGAAAGATGCGAAATTGGATTTCCTGACAGTCGAATCTTTACAATTGATATGTGGATATGTGTTTTATTTTTTGGGACCACAAATCTACAAACAATTGATAATTACCCAACCGCGTTTTGCGTGTGCATAAAAAAACTAAAGAGAATGATACTCATTTAGTTAAATCTCAACTATTCATTCGCAAAAAACATGTGCGGAGATAAATTTTGAGGCAGATTCTCTGCTTTCACACTTTCTGTGCCTTTCTGCGTCTTCTTATTTGTGTAATCACAGTTAAGTTACGTTAATATTTTATATTACTATTTTTTTATATTATTATCTCTATAAAAAAACATATTTGTGTAATCACGGTTAAGTCACGTTAATATTTTATATTACTACTCTTTTTTGTCTTATTATCTCTATAAAAAAACAATATAAAATATAAACGTGACTTAACCATGACTACACAAAATAAAAGGCTATGAAAAATGGAAGGGCAGATAATCTGCCTCCATTTCGATTACCTAACCTATCTGTTTTGTAGAATGGTTCCTTGAAACTATACAATGGGAACTAGTGAGTGAGCAAGGGTTTGACGATGTCACCCATCAACTAATTCTTGTTGGGTCAACATCTGTAAGCTTCATACGGTGATGCAATTTCCAGGCCTTTGAAAGTTCCTTCTCTTTCATTTTCTCTCCTTTCGTTTTTGTTGTAATGTTGTTTGATAGTCGAAATCAATTATTTTCTGAATGTGTCTTACAAGTTATTTTGACCAAAAGATAAAATAAAAAATAAAAAAAATCAACCAAATGGAGAATTGTTTCATGCAATCAACGAATTGTAAAATACATAGACAATCCAATATCAATGCTAAATTACCACAATATTTTAATTTATTAGCAAAATGATTTTTAGATTTATTGATTTTTGCAAGGAGGAAGGCACCTTGGTTTTATGTCTCGTTTAATAAATAATTTTGGTCACACAATATATCATGTATAATTACCATAATATATAATTAATCACAATATGCGGTTTATATCGTTTTATGCGCAGAGGGCACGCCAAGGTTGACAACTGCACTCCGCAGAATGTGAAAGCACATTGCATAATGTTGTCTAGTCTCCTCTGGTGCGCCCAAGGTCCTTCAAACCAGACAATCATTTGGCTTTCTTTTTATGTTTGGTTTTTTATAGAATTTTATTTATTTATTTTATTATACGATTCGACTATAATGTTACGAACGTTTTAACTATTAGATTTTACTTTCACAACTATTATATTTTTTTTGTTTTTAATCTTAATCATTCAATACTACGTACCATTTCTTTTGTTATGAACGATACTGAATAGAGTTTGAACTAAAAAAAAATAGCGCAGTTGATTACCTCACATGTGGCGGCATTTCAATAGTCCCAAGTCTCCATAACTTTGGTCATTTAGTTGGTTGTGTGTGACATATGTGATCATGCAATTAGATTATGATCAATTTCTGGTTTAAACTTAATAGACTTAGTCCACAGTACAATATTTGTTCAATTGAAATATTGGTTTGAGTACATGTTACCAATACCAAATGAATTCTCTATCAATAAATTCTTTTTCAAGTTGTAATTTTTATTTGTTATCATTTCTTATACATATAAGAAACATTTTCTTTGCAAAATAATGTACGATAGATGTTTTTCTCCGAATCTTGTTGGCTTAAAATCGCATTTTTCTTACTTTTTACATATATAATATTTCCTCAGTTATATTAAGCTCATAAATTTCTGCCAATTCGAACTCATGTTTACATTAATAAATTTCAATTAACGGATACGTATATACACTCTAAAATCACATTAATCGTTCGTGGTTAACACTTAACTGTTATACATAACGTTAACATTTATGTGAAACACAAAAGAAGAGGAATTCTCACCATTTGCATGGCGAAAAACCGAGGCTATATATAGCCTAGCTAGCTAGATAGGACTAAGGAGAAAAACAGTCATTTGTTCACAGTCAGTAAGTATAAAGTGTTATAAGTATTCCGTGCATAAATTGCTCACCTACCGATAAATGATTAGGTTCGAACATCAGCAAAAAAGATAAATAAAGTTTATGATTGGGAACATGAATCTTCGTGGTTTGACGGATCAGCTTCAGTATCTGAAAATATAATATCTGATTAATTACAATGTAAGCAATTCCTAATTAATATTATGTTAAAGGATAAAATTAAACAAACTGAAGCCTGATCTGGGGAAGGCGAATTAAGATTTGATAACATGTTACGAACTTTGACTTTAATTAGCTAAAATTAAATTAATTGCACATGCATTTGATATAATAAGAGAGTTACCATAAAATTAACTGACAATATAGAGAGTAATTCAACTTATTTATAAGTTCATGCGAAGTCTTTCTTTCCAATAATGTGGAATTCATTCTGACGTGTGACAAATTTTCAAGCTTAACATGTGGACAACACAAACGGAATAACGTAGAGCATGTGTTGTCATTAGGCTTTATATGCGAGACAACAAACCATAATACCATGAAAAAAGTTAAGATTTCACCGTAATTAAACTAATTAACAATATAAACAATAACCTAACTTATTTATATGTCCATACAAAATATCTCCCCCCTTAACGTGAAATTCGTTCTCAATATAACATCTATTCTAGTAATATCGGCATCTACCTTATCACAATTGTACAGTATATACAATTTATAAGTTTTCTCTTTAAATTGAAAATATAATTTCAAGCATAAATAAGGCGGGAAAAAAAAAGGGTTATCGAAAATGCTGTTTAATTTGTCAAACTTATAACTTAGTCAATCATACAAGTTCAGTTCACACACTAACATAGCAACACGCACTCAGGTTTGTGGTGTAAAATACTTCCAAAATGCATGTTTCCATGTCTAATGTATGTCGCCTAATGCTTTAATTTAATCAATTCAGAAATTAATTTCCCGACGACTATGATGTATACGTTTGGCATGTATAGATCAGAATTTAATTAGCTTTAATACTGAACCTTTCGTTTGAATGAGATTCTTAGTTTTTTTTTTATAAACAACCAGTTGATATTTTTATTATCTATAACTATGCTACCTTCAGCCACTTAATATTACAGTCTAGTGATATTTCTCTTCACTTATAAATGAGTTTATGTTCAATTCTCAATAAAGACGAATTTGAACCACATTATTACTAACATATTATTAAGCTAAATTCACCCCTTCCGTTTGATAAAATAAAAAAGAAAAAAAAGTATGCTACTTTCTTTCAACTCTTATGCGATGAAGGTGGAATCTGTAATAATGTTGATATTTCCTGTTGTACCATAATTTCTTTATCTGTTTTACAACAGGTGTTCACTTGTCCACACAAAAATAAGTGGCTCTCTTTTGGGATGCAAAATAAGATCTCTGTGTTGATATTTTTATTGCTTCCAATCTTGTATCATATTATCAACACTAAAGCGGCAGACTATCTTTTTGTTAATAATGTTAATTTGGGATGCAAATTGCAAAATAAGTTATTTTCCAATAGTTGAAGACCACCGTTCACCAAATTAAAATAAGGATAATCTCAATATGCATTGTTTGATCAACTACCAACAGATCACACGTGATTAATTTTTCAATTACTTACCA